GTTCTTTTATCTGTGTTGTAGAGCCGAGGTGGTGCAGTGGTTAGGGTGCAGTACTGCAGGCCACTTCAGCTGACTGTTATCTGCAGTTCAGCGGTTCTAATCTCACCGGCTCAAAGGTTGACTCAGCCTTCCATCCTTCCGAGGTGGGTAAAATGACGACCCAGATTGTTGTTGGGGGTGATATGCTGACTCTGTAAACCGCTTAGAGAGGGCTGAAAGCCCTATGAAGCGGTATATAAGTCTAACTGCTATGGTTGACACCATTTGGGCTAAAACTAGCATTTACTTCTGGTTTTCAGAAACAAATGCCCCATAGCAAACAAATGGGTTCACTCTACAACTATGGTGTTGGTTTTAAGATTCCAACGGTCACTTTAAGACCATGGCGTTTGCTTAACGACTGCTGCAAAAAAGGTCGTAACAGGAGGTCACTCAAGTGGGTGATCTGTTTTAATGACTGTCATGAGTTACAACTGAAATGGTTGGGGCTCAGTTATGGTTGTAAGTTGAGAGCTATCCCTATAGCTTTGAACTCCAGGTTTAAAAGAGGCGCACAAGAATAGGCAGGTGGTAGGAACAGGTTCAAAATGATTAATGATGGGCAATGGTTTGGAATCAGGGGTTAAATGCTACCGGTTTGCAAAGGTTTGCCCAAACCGGTGGTAAAAATGCTACCGGTTCGCCTGAACTGGTAGTAAAAAAAAAATTGCTACCAGTTCGGGCAAAGCAATCTTTCCGATGATCAGCTGTGACACGCGATTTATATTAGCTGGAAAGCAGGATTTCCTGCTTTCTAGCTAACCTAAATTGTGTGGTACAGCAGATCTCCCTCCCCCACTGTTCGCTTACCTTTGCAGGCATGCTTGGTAACAGGCTCTGCCCACCCACGTGGACATCATCGCATCCGTTTTTGATGCTCTGCACATCTGCGGAAGGTCCTGAGCATGCACAGAGGTGGCGCATGTGTGTGTATTCACATTGCAAGGTAAGTTGATTTCACCCCCGTTTGGAATCTGTTTGTGGAAATACTGTAGTCCACCTGCAGAGATTTCCATGAAAGCTCTCTGGCTCAATCCTTACCTGGTAGGTATTTGTCATGGTCGTAGTCTCTGGAATGATGCATGTGGTGCTGAGTGAAGGGCTGGTTCCCAAAGAGGTTGTCACTACGCAGGTTGTGACAAAGCTTCTCAAGGAAACGGAGGACGTAAGTGATGCTATTCACCGCTGGTAAGTTTAGAGTGTGCTGCTCATGATCAAACACAGCTGAAAGAGGAAACCAAGGAAGCCAAATATATAAAAATGCTACAGAGATGACCAGAAAAGATCAACATCCCACCACCACCCTCCCCAAGCTGTCCCTGCTTGTCGTTCAGTGCATTAAAATGCTTTCCAGATTTTCCTTTGACTTCAATATTCCAGCGAGAATAAATTAGAACATTTACTCCATTAGACTAGAACAGGGGTCGGCAACTTTAAACACTCAAAAGAGCCACAAAGGTCCTAACCAGAAGCCCCCCATTCAATTCTGGAGCCGACTGGAAGTCCAGTTCCCCCACCATAGAGTCTCCTCCTAGCATGGCGTCCTTTTTCCTCTACCTGTCCTAACCGAAAGCCCCATCAAATGTGGAGCTGGCAGGCAACAGGGAGCCACAGCAGAGGGATGAAAGAGCCACATGCGGCTCCAGAGCCGCAGGTTGCTGACCCCTGGACTGCATTACTTACTCCAATGCAGGGGTGGGCAATAATGATCCCTTTGCTACTTCTGAACTTCAAGCCCCAGAATTCCTAACACAGTCAGAATTCTGGGAGTTGAAGTCCACAGGCTGTAAAGGGTCCACAGTTAGTGTATACCCCCACCCCCGCTCCAAAGGTTTCTAAAAAAAACACACACAGACAATGCTGCATTGCTACTATTAGAACTTCATGGCTATATTGTGGCTGGCAGACATGTATCCTCAGAGATATTTTCCCAACAAAGTAGGACAGATCAACATGAGGGTTACCTGAAATAACCTCTCCTCCATGGCCTTGTTTAAGGAATGAGAAGACAGTCTTCTGGTGGTAAGCACAGTCAATGCAAGCTTGGACTGCTTGCTGCAGGACTATGGATGCTCGAGCGGGACCAAAATGGTCAGGCAATTGCTGGATTTTCTTTTTGTCCAGGTGAGGCCCGGGGCTACCGTTTTTATTCAAGTAGATGCAAACTAGGGGGGAGGGGGAGAGGGTTGACAGGAGAAAGAAACATATAAAAAGCCTTCAATACTTAATTTGACAATAACTTTGACTATGACTGTAGCTTTGTTGCTTGTATCCTTATGATTTACACTGACTGTTTCCTAGTATGATTTGATTGCTTATTTGTAGCCTACGATTATCATGAAGTGTTCTACTTCTATGATTCGTGACAAATGTATATATATATGGAGCTTATGCACCAAAGACAGATTCCTTGTGTGTCCAATCACACTTGGCCAATAAAGAATTCTATGCTCTGCTCTGCTCTGCTCTGCTCTGCTCTGCTATTCAAAAAAGCAGAGATACATTTCTTGTAACTCTGGATCAGGCAACAGTCCCTTAATCTCTCTTTTCTGCAAATGAGTTATCTAACCTGGCTGAGTTCCAGAGAACAGATCCATAAGCTGCATTAGTTTTTTGAGAGTCTATATATCCTGAAAATTGCTCTTTTTTCTCTCTCCATTATATAATTTAATTTGCCAAAAGCTGCTGGATACACCATGAAGATGAGAGGCTGAGACTCAAGCTGCAGCTCTGTTTCTGAACCTTGACAACTTTCAAGATGTGTGGACTTCAATTCCCCTGATCCAGCCCCCGTAGTGAATTAAGTGAAAAGCACTGCATCTGTGTCTGAAAAACACCTTTACACCTTTTAATTGCGTAAGCCTCTTGAAGATTCTTCAGGGTGAGTGATCCTACATAGCTAGGTTTATGAATCTGGGTACTTGAGAGACCGCCTTCTGCCAATTACCTCCCTGCGACCAATTCGATCTCATAGATTGGGCCTCCTCCGTATT